GAAGGGTGGATTTGTCCGGCAGTCCTTCAGGGTGACGGTGAGGTGTCCCTGCCACTCTCTGTGTGACCCTGGCTAGAGATGCTGTGGAACACCTGTTTTTTCAGAAGGAGATTATCTTTCCACCAGAGCTTTCTGGATGTCTGAAGAGCTTGCAAACAGGAAATTGGGCACATTTCTGAGGGGAAGCGAGGTGAAGCGTGGGAAAACAAGGCGGAAGGGGAAGAGCCCACTTGGGGAAGGGAAGGGACGGGGTGGGGGAGGGGTGCAGCGGGCCATGGGATGACCAGTTTGGGTGGTCCCAGTGGTTGGACAGTCACGCTGGGAGCTGGGCCCTGTCCTGCACAGCCAAGTGTCTGAAACAGAGCTCAGAAAGACGGGGACCAGAGCCAGAGCCCCTGTGAAATGGGTCCTCAACCCTGGCACCCAGAGGCCGGCCAGCACGGCCTGGAGGGTGACGACCTCTACCCTGTCCCCCGATGTCCTGCTGCCCACCCAGTGCCTGGGGCAACCCTGGGCACCTTCTAACAGCAGAGCTCTTGTACCCAACAGGGACTGGGCCACTGCGGGACCATGTGGCCAGTCTGGAGGTGGTTGGCCAGGACTGGAAGAGAACCAGGCTCCAGAGGGAGGCCCAGCAGCCGGTCCCTCCCTGTGAGCTCCCCGGGCAGATGCTCTGGGCCTGGGCTGGCCGTTAGGGAGGACCCACCCCCACAGACCACTGGAGCTCAGCAGGCCGGACCACAAAACAGAGTCCTCCCCCTCCCTCTTTGTCAGCACTGGTATTTTCTATTAGGGCAAGTCTCGAGGTTCAAGTGGGGGGACTTGGGGTATTTAGAAAGAGGCTCCTTTGTCCCCAAATCTGGAGCAAGGACGGGGCCCCGGGAGGCCCTGTCAGGGCTGGGAAGTAAGCCTGCCGCTGGCGCTCCAGGGACAGACCACTGCCGGGCAAGGGGCAGTGGGGCTGGCGGGAGCTGCGTCCTTGAGCTCCTGAATTTCACTGCCTGCTGAGGCGCGCAGGCCGAGCCCGGCTGTGCGGGGGTCACCTCCTGCCGGGACAGCCCCTCCGCTGCCGCAGGGCCTGTCCCTATGCCCTCCGTGACGCTACGAGACAGAGACGAGGTGCTCCATTTTGCGGATGGGGAGACTGAGGCTCACCAGACAGAGGGTACACCAAGGCCCCAGAGCTAAGAAGGGGCGGGGCCCTTGCCCAGCTCACCAGAGGCAGCTGGAGCTGCTCATTTCCAGTCATTAGCTGAGGACAACAGGAATGTTGTCACAACCCCAGTTGCAGAGGCCCCGGATGGTACTCCAGCCTGGGGACCCCCACGGGAGGAATCAGGAGCATCAATACCCAGACCCCCTGCCACCCCCTGCCAGGGGCAGGAGGGCCTCAGTGGGTCGCTACACAGAGAGCCAAGGGCTGCTGTGCTGTGCTCTGGCACTGCGGGTCGGGTGTTCAAAACGTGGAGGACGCAAATGCAGCAGCTGGCCCTGCTCTGCTGGGCCGGCTGAGCAGACAGACAGCTGTCCGGGAGGTGGGAGCCGTGTGGCATTCCGGGCATTTCAGCACCTCTATAAAACCAGCCTTCTCCACGCCGAGGGGCCCGAGGGAGGGGAGGGTGGGCGGGTCGGCTCCCACTCCCTGCTCCCCAGGCTGTGGCTGCCCTGCCAGCGGCCCCCACCCTGCCCGGGACAGGCCCTGCCAGGTCCCGTTGGGACCAGCGCCACCTGCTGGGGAGAGGAGGGATGCGCCTGGGGGCCTTGGCTAGGAGCATGCGCCAGGGGCCAGTCTCCCCTCCTCTCCTGGCCTCAGTCTCCTCCTCTGTAAAATGGGGAGAGAGAGACGTCCACCCCCCACCCCCACCCCCACCCCCACCCCCCGCCTCCAGCTGCTGACACGGCCCAAAGGGACAAAGTAGGAAGAGAGCTCGGCACATGCTGGCCCTGAATGAATGTCTGTGTGTGTAAATGGTTTTCAAGACACACACAGGGGTTCGAATGGAGAGCTCCCCCACACCAGGGGTCAGGAGAGGCCCAGGGCTACAATATTAACGCGGAGGCAAGCCCGGCAAGGGCATCCTGGCAGAAGGAGGGCGCACCGCCTGTGGCATCCCCTTTGGCCCAAGCACCAGCAGGTGAGGGTGGGGTGGGGTGGGGTATCGGAGGCCGGCCGGTCGGCTGGCGGGACCACCGGAGCCCAGAAGACGGGGAGGCCAGAGCACGTCTCTGCTGTCTCCCAGCCCAGGCCAATCCGGCTCCCCCTACCCTGTGCCTGGGGGCACAACACCCCCACAGCAACCGGCCTGCTTCTTCTACTCTGCCCCACCCAGCTCCCCAGGCCAATCGCTTCCCTGGCCCCAGTGAGGACCGAGGGTCCTTTAAGTCCTGTTCAGAGCTGGACGCCTTCCCCCGAGCCAGTTGGCCTGTCTCCAGGCGGCCAGGTCTGCGACGGGAGCCACACACAGGCTGCACCCCGACCCCCATTCTACGCTCCACCCCCCCCCCAAAGCGCTGCTCAAGTCCCAGCCTTTCAGTAGGGGGGTCCTTGGGCCACCCCCGCCCCCAGGCTGGCCACCTGTCTCCCTGCTTTGGGGCAGCCCCTCTCGGCCCCCTTGGTCCTTAATGGTTACAACACATGTGCGGCTCCCCTCCTGCTTCCTCCATCACCTCCCCCTTCTCTTTTTCCCCTCCCCAAGCTTGCAGCCCCAGCCCTGGAGTTTACAGCTGCAAAACACACACACACACACACACACACACACACACAGAGTCATGCACAAAACACACTGTGGAATGTTTTCCTGCTCCTGAGTGGGGTTACCGCTCCGGAGAGTTCTCTTCTAGCACCTGACCTCTAATCCATCTCCTCGCCACAAGATTTCTACCCCTCCTGGAAGCTGGGGCTGGGGGCTGGGGCTGGGCAGAAGCGGGGTGTGGAGAGGCGGGCCAGGATGATCAGGGCCCCCATGACCAGCTTGCAGGGGGTCGCCTGCCTCTTACCCAGAGCTGCACACACGGCACGATCTGGTTTTCCCATTTGGAGAGGGAACGGGGCTCCTAAGTGCCAGACTGAAATGCCCTGCAGCCCCGCCTCCCTTGCCTTTCATTCATTCTTTTCACAGAGTCATTCATTCAGCCAGCGTCTGCTGACCACCCACCACGTGCCAGGCCTGGCCCCGGACTTGGGTGGTGAGCTGACCAGTCGAGCAGTGGGCACACACCCCAAGCGGCCCCGCACCAACCGCACGACACAGAGAGCTGGAGGCCCGGACGGGAACGAGTGGCGTGCTGGGGGCCAGCACAGAGCACCCCAGCTTGCCTGAGCCGGGTGGGGACCCGTCCCCACAGATGTCAGAGGAGGAGGAAGTGTGTGTGCAGGGGAGGGGGTGAGGCCGGGAGGAGGGGCGGGGTCTGAGCCTACCGTGGAGGCTAGGGTGTGCTGTGGGGGACAGGGCTGGGCGGGGGTGGCCCCGCGATCCCCCGGAGAACTTGGACTTCACGCTGAGGGCTGAGGGTGCCTTGGAAGGCGCTTGAGCAGAAGAATGACGTGACCACGTGTACTGAATGGGACTTTTCATGGCAAACAGCAGATATGGCCCCCAGCCAACGTATGATAAAAAAAAGAGACTTCTGGAAAGGTGTGAGGGAGCTCCCAGATGGAAGGAAAGGTGGGTCAAGCGGGCCCAGGGGGCGTGGGACAAGCCAGCAGCCTCTCCTTGAGGCGCCGACATGCATGGGCACCTCCTGGCCTCGCCCCCGCTGTTCCCATACTCCAGATTCCAATTCCCAGGAGAATAAAATCCCGCATAGCCACCCAGCGACCACAGGAACAAGCCACTGGACACAACGTGGCTGAATCTCAGGGACATTCCGGGGCAATGAGAGAAGCCAGCCCGAAAGAGTGCACACCGCGTGAGTCCATTTACACAGGCAAAGTCAAGTGTGTGGCAGAAACCTGAACAGTGGCTGCCTCTGCTGGGGCCTCGAGGGCTGTCCTGGAGTCACGGGGACACAGGGGTGGTCACACAGCACATGTCAAAACTCATCGAACTGTACATGATAAATCTGTGCATTTTGTTGTAGGCGACACCATTATATCATGATGAAAAACAAAACGGAATAAAAGCTGTCCTTTTGCTGGCAACAAATAAACAAAAGAATTAATCAGTCAAGCAATGAATCAAGCAGTCCCTCCAGGGAGAGAGAATTGGCCTGGGTAGCTCACACACTCCCATCGTTCCGTGGCCAGAGGATAACGGGGCGGTGTAGGGGGGACCCTGCTGGCCAGTTCCCCCAGGCCTCTTCAACAAAGGAAGGTAATTTCCCGAAGGCCAAGGAATGCTGAGAGGGCTAGCATCCCCCTTGCGCTGGGGACACTGGTAGAGATCGTCCAGTTCTGTGTACTTCAGGTTTGAAACTATGTAACCAAATAGAAAAGAATGTTAGTTTCATTTGTTTAGTTACCAAGGAAGCCTGTTTGGGGCAACAGCAGGGGAGTCAGACATGCCTGTGGGCTGGTAAATTGTGAGACTTATCTACAGGGTCCTTTTAGTGATTAGAATCTGCTGAACCTTGGGTTCTCTGACCTCTTGCCCCCTCTGGGCGCCTGACTCAGGCAGCAGAGTCTGCTCTCTTCTTATTCTGGACTCCGGAGCACCTCGGGGAGGGGCCCGGGGCCAGGATGGAAAGTGGCTGGACATCGGCGATTGTGCTCGTGGGGACTCTTCTCCCAAGTTGCTGCCTCGGAGAAAAGAAGGACGGTCTCCTTGACCTATCCAAAAAAAAAAAAAAAAAATTAGAGACAAGTGCTGATCACATGGTACATCAGCTGTTGAACCCTCTCCACATGCTGCTGGACACGTGTGCGCACACCCCTGCCTCTCTTCAGGGCATTTAAACCACAGCTGCCACCGGAGCCCCTGGTGCAAGGAGCGGGTCTTCTCCCTTTCGCTTTTCTGCCCTGGAGACCCGGGAGGCCTGCACCTACCTCTCCCCCCCAGCCCATGGGGACTCTGGTGGCCAAACTGCTCCTGCCCACGCTCAGCAGCCTGGTCTTCCTCCCCACGGTCAGCATTGCTGCCAAGAGGCAGTTCCACATGGAGGCCATGGTCTACCTCTTCACCATGTTCTTTGTGGCGGTAAGTCCGGGGCCCTGGGGATAGGACCCACCCGGGGCCCTCCCAGAGACGGAGGACAGGGGCTGTCTTTCCACCACTTTGCTGTATTGGGTGATGAAGAAAAGTGATGATGGGGAGGTGGAGGAAAGAGCCCAGAGACCAGGAGAGAGGGCTGTGGGCCCCCCTTCACCTTCCTGGACCTCAGTTTCCCCAACTGTGGCAGGAAGTCACTCTGGGATTGGTGTGTGCGAGACCAAGCCCACAGTGTGCCAGGGACAAGCCCCTCCAAGATCCCCCTTTTCCTGCCAACCACCCAAGGCTCCTCCTGGCTCCAGCTCCCCTCTTCACCCCCACCCCCCACCACGACTCTCCCTGGTACTCCAGGCCCAGGAGGGGGCTAGCAGGGCTCAGGGAACGTGTAGGGCCAGGGGAATCTGGTTCCAGGATTCTGCAGCTGGCCTCAGTTCAGGAGGGCCTGCTCACGTCGGCTTGTCTCTCCTTCTTGGGGCCTACGTCTCTCTCTGAGTCCTTCTTTCTCTTTCTATTTATATGTCTGGCTGTCTGTCTCTCTCTCTCTCTCTGTCCCCCTCCCCCATCTCCCTGTGGGTCTCTTTCCCTCTGTGTTTCTCATACTGGCTCGCTCTGTGTCTGGTTCTCTCTGGATTTCTGGAGCCATATCCTCACGGAATTTACTCTCTTTGTAAATTTCTTGGTGTCCGTCCCTAGCTTTGTTGCCCTCATGTGTCTCTCTGGCCCTATCTATCCATTCTTCTAGCTTCTGTCTGTCTGCCTGTCTACCTACCTATCTATGACCTATCTCTCTAATCCATCATCTATACATATATCTAATCAATCACCTCTCTACCTGCCTCATTAGCCAGCCATCCACCATCTCTCTACATCTTAGTGCCTTCCTGCCTCCCTGCCTGTGAGCCTCTGAGGCTCCTTCCACCCACCCTTGCCGCTGGACCCCCAGAGGGGCCCCACTCTCTTTTCCTCCATCATCTTCCATCAGACCCAGCCTTGGTTTAAACCCAACTCCCTGATGAAGCATGCTCGGGGGAGGTGAGGGTTCCCGGACTCCGTGTGGCAGTGCCAGCCGTGCGTGGGCCCCCCCCCCCGCAACCCCGGGCAGCAGGGCCTCCCCAGGCAGCAGGGCCTCCCGGCTCCTTCAAGGAATCTTGTCAAAAGCCATTTCATTTGCTGCTCGTGGGACCCCAGCTTGGGTGAGGGCCAGGAGGTCTGCCCGGCAGATGAGGTACCAGAGCCGGGCAGACAGGGGGCTTCTCTGTGGGTACAAGGGCCCAGGGCCGGGGAGAGGAGCCCGGGTCTTGTCCTCCAGGCCCATGTTGGACCCCGCCCCCGAAACCACAGTCACCGCCAGGCCACCCCTCCCCACCGGGGCTGAGCTGACCCCACAGCTGCCTCTGCGGCTGGCCTCAGAGGCCCACCCCGCCCTGTCCCGCCCAGCCAGAGTGGCAGGGACAGCTGCGTCCGGCGACAAGTGTCCCCGGCCTAAAGACACAATCAGGCCCCTTCTCCCAGAGCCCCCAGCGGCACCATCGCCACTTCTGCCTCCCGTGTGGAGTCTTCTGTGTTCCCACCGGGACCGTCCTGTGACAGCTGCTGGACCCGTGCTGCGTGTCGTGTCACATGGAGTCCCCTGGCCCACCCCACGGAGCAGGGGCTCTCGTCCCCGTTTGACAGGGGCCCTCCACCCCAGCCCTAGGGGCAGTCCGCCGTTTGTCAGAGCTCACGGCCGGGACCTGCCAGGCCGGCCTCCGGAAGCCGCACCCTCTCCTGCCAGGCATCCAGCCACCTGCCACCCGTGCCCCCGACCAGCGCCGCGCAGAGCCAGGTCTGCTCGGTCGGAAGAGGGAGGGAGACCTCGCAGGCACAGAGGCTGAGGGCCCGCTGCTGCTTCGCCCTGATCCTTGGCAGGTGGTTCCCCCCTGAGTCTCACCTGCCCCACCTCTCCAGCAGGGGTGAACCGAGGGCCTGGGGGGAAAGGCCCCTCCTGGGCCAGCTCTCCTTCAAACTGCTCCAAAGCCTCCCTGACGCAGCATTCACAGGCAAACACTTGGCCGATTGTAAGCCAGCTCTAGGCTGGGACGAGGCGGGTGACAGGGCACAGACCGCGTCCAGAATCTCAGAGTGATTAAGCCTTTAATCGCACATCGCGATCTGTGCTATGTAAGAGAGACAATGGGTACAGAGACAGCAGGGCTCAGCTAGGGGTGGGGGAGAAGTAGTTCTGGAAGGAGCCAGAGGGCAGGAGAAGAGAATCCATGTCACTCACAGGGCCTGGCTCTGCCTGCCGGAGCCATGGGGAACAAGTGTTCTTCTCCCTCCTCTATCCTGGAGATGTGAGCACCTTGATCATGCCCCACCTGAAGCTTCTCTTTGCTGAGCTAAACAGTCATATCCAGGAAATCATATCCAGGAAATATCCAGTCATATCCAGGAAAGCCTGATTCCTTTCCTCCAACCTGTTCTTTGCTAGTGGCACTTCAAAGGGTGCAGCTTCCGAAGCTCAGCACAGCTCTCTGGGGGGGGGGGGGTCTGACCAGACAGAGAGGAGCAGTACTGTGTCCTCCCCTGTTCTGGACGCTACATCTCTGTTAATGCCTCCTCGGTGCACCTTAGCTTTAGTTCACATGAAGTTGCAGCCAGTGGAAGCTCTAAATCGACCTCAACTTGCTCGACTCACCAGATGACCCAGGGCTCTCACCACCCCTGCACCGTAGCATCCCTGGCACCTCCAGATGTGGGCTGCTGTCCTGCACGCCTCTCCATCCAGCTGAGCTGGGCTAACCAAGCGTCGACTGTGCTGGGCTCCAAGCTTGTTTATGCCCTTGAGCTTGTCAAAATAATTACATCATGTCATTAAATATTACTTAAAATGATGAAATGTGTAAGCGAAAGGAGACGGTTGTCCAGAAATAAGTTGACAGCTTTGAAAATACAGACATTTTGCTTTAAAATTGCTATTAAATTAGGTATCTGGCAGACAACTATAGGAGTGTGGGGGAGGAAGGGGGGCAAGGAGGATGCTGCTTTCAGCACCTGCCCGGGGTGGGGGGTCGGGGGGTGGGGGTGTCTCTGCGATCTGTCCTCACTTTAGAGAAAAAAACTGAGGGCTGCCGGTGGGTGGTTCTCAAAGCGGGCTCCCTTCTGGCGGCATCCCGAGATCAGCCCGAGACCCTCTTAAAGAAACAAACCTCTGACCCCCAACCCCGACCTGCTGAGGGGGCAACCCACAGGGCAGGCTCAGCACCTGAGTCTTCGCAAGCCCACCAGGGCTTCAGATGCCCGGTGGCCAGAGGGGTAAATTGTGGGAGAGAAGGCCCCACTGGCCCTTGCAGGGCAGACCGGTACCCAAGGAAAAAGGCTCCAGCCTCAGCAGACCTGGATGTTGAGGGAATATGTAGGTCACACGGGAGGGTCCTCACCTCGGCGGGCTTCATCCGCAAGACCCTATGGGGGAGTGGTCCACTGCGTCCCCATGTTCCAGATGGGGAAAAGAGCCATGGGGCCATTCAGTGACTTGCCCGAGGTCCCAGCTCATGGGGCTGTGGCTCGGGGCCCAGGCATGGCCCCGGGGCTCCAGAGCTCTCCTCTCCCTGCTGACCGACCGTCTGTGGGTTTCCCGGCAGCTCTACCACGCCTGCAATGGGCCCGGCCTGTCGGTTCTCTGTTTCCTGCGCCACGACATCCTGGAGTACTTCAGCGTCTACGGGACGGCCCTGAGCATGTGGGTGTCACTGATGGGTGAGTGGCCACCCCCGGTAGCCCAGCCCTGCGCCGGGGACCTGGGTCCCCCGCCACCCACCCTGCACTCAGCCAGCCGAGCCCGCCGACTGCCTCCCGGCCACCTCTCATCTCTGAGAACCTCCTTCCTTACCCGGAGGTTCAGAGTGGTGCTCAGTCTGTGAAAAAGTAGGCGCAGCACTTAAGTGCCTTGATTCCCATTTTCCATAACCTTTTAAAATTGCACGTTTAGTAAAGGCTTGTTTTGACAGACTGAGCAGAGGCGTACAGAGGAAAAAAGGAAGCGCTCGGCCCCCTCCTTTGCCCCCGGAGAACAGCCACTTGCAGTTCAGAGTCTGCGCCCCCAAGACTGTTCCCGAGGCTCACACACAATTTTTAGCTCAGGTCTTTATGAAGATGGGACCATTCGAAACCACATGGTTCTGAGACTGTTCTTCACTTACTGTGGACTCGTGGCGATGTCAGGACGCACGGTCCCCATTAGACGGGGGGACTTCCTGCTACGGGCGCAGGCCTGTGAAGGACCCAGATCTTTCTCGTATCCTAGCTGTGGTCTTTGTGTCTTCGTCCTAGTGGTCCCATGGGAGAGATTCATTCCCGGACACCACACATTGATCTCTGTGTTAGAGCAGCTTCCTGCCAGGCTAACCCAGGCTGCTCTGTCCACAGGAAAGCAGCAGCCTGCTTGTCCTTTAAAACCAGCTGCAATTCAGACCTTGGGGGGCCCAGGCTGGGCCACGGGGTCTCCCTGGCGGAGGGGACACCACACCCGGACCCCAAAGGGAGGGCCTCTGGGAGAGCAGCGGCCAGGAGGGGCACGGGAGGCCCCTCACCTCACCCGGCTCTCTCCCTGGCAGCACTGGCCGACTTCGATGAGCCCAAGCGGTCGACTTTAGTGATGTTTGGCGTCCTGACCATCGCTGTGCGGATCTACCATGACCGCTGGGGCTACGGGGTGTACTCGGGCCCCATCGGCACAGCCGTCCTCATCATTGCGGCCAAGTGGGTACGTACTGTGCGAGCCCTACGGTCAGGGGCACCCTCCCCCGACGGTGACTCCTCCCCCTTGGGGTCTCCATCTACCTCCCGCCACGTGGGTTGGCAGGCTGGACACAGGGCCTCAGCTAACACATAGAAAATGACCGTCGGGTGCCCCAGCCATGCAAACCTGGTTTGTTTTACGTCTGTACTCACTAGCTCTGGACCTGACCCCAGTTACTTAACCTCTCTGCCTCAGTTTCCGTATCTGTAAAGTGGGTGTTACAGCCCAGTACCTGCCTCATAGGGTTGGTTCTTAGATTAACTGAGATAATGCACTTAAGGACTGGCACAGAACCTGGCTTCTAATGTGCTGAACTATTTATTATTGTCATTATTATTATTATTGAAGAGAATGGCTGGTTTAGAGATGCAATATCAATTGGAAGTGGCCTGGGTTAATCTGGGAAGATGTCCTGGAGGGGCTGAGGCTTGAGCCTGGTTCAGATGAAGAGGGAGGACGTGTGTGAGGCCGACCGGAAGGTGGAGCTGCTCGTGGGCATGGAAGCAGCCTGAGCCAGACTGATGGTCCTTGGCTGGGCACCCAGGGGCCTGGCACCACGAGGACTTCTACACGTGGTCCTCAGGCCTCCCTGCACCCTCTGTCATAACAAGGCCCTCCTGGCTGCAAGGACTGAAACCCACTCAGACTAGCCCAAGTGAAAGAGGGATGCTCGGGCAGGGTGCACCCAGACGTACTTCCTGGGCCCCCAGGACAGGGAAGGAGCTGAGCCTCGCGGGGACCAGAACAAAGCCCTGGGAAGCAGGAGGGCGGTTCTCAGGGGAAAGAGGTCGGGCTGGGCAGCTGGTGCAGAAGGTGCAGACTGGGGAGGGAAAATAAAGTTCTGGTGGTGAGCGTTCCAAATTCGCCCCACTCCTCTCTCCGCCCAGAGAGCGGAGGATTTAGTTTGCCAGTTGGTTGGTGAAGAAACCAAGGCTCAGAGGTCAGCAATTTAACAAGATGTCACGGCAGGACAAGCGTGAGGCCAGGTCCTGACTCCAAGCAGAAGGGAAGGAGCCTTTTTCTCACCACATCTTGGGGAAGCCAAGCTGGCCCCGCGCTGACCCAGGAGGCCCCTCGGAGAGGGGCGGAAGTGTGCTGGGGTCTGACTTGTCTGGACCAGGAAGGGCCACGTTAATTAACATTCTGGAATGCGTAAACACAGAGCGCTCTCCGTGCTGATAATTCGCTCCCTCCCTGGCAGGAAGTGGGATAAAGGCTCCCGAGTTGTGCCCTGGAAGGCCGCTCCTCCAGCAGACCTTGGCCGGGGCTGAATCTGGGCTGGATTCTAATTAGCCAGAAGAGCGGTCACTCGCCAGTGTCCCCATGAAGCACCACAGGAACCGAGAGGGCTTCCTGGCTGCCTGCATCTGGGGCTCAAATGGTGTTTTCTAGACCATTAAATGTGGAGTTGATTTTGGCTTTTCAAGGACAGTTGTTTCCTGGAACGAGGGCTGAGTTTTTCTCGCAGAGGCCTGCCCCTTCTTGAGCAACTCTCAGGGACAGGAAGTGGAGAGAGATGGGTGAAGGGGCTGCGGAGCAGGGCCCGGGTGCCACCTGGGGCAGGATTGGCTGGAGGACAGCTTCCGGGCCTCAGCCGGCTGCCCCCAGAGTCATGCTCCCTTAGCTGCACCCACACACCACCCGCGACATTGCAGGTCCTGATTCCTCACCAGCAATGAGAAATTTCAGAAAACTGAAAAATCAGGCATCGTTTCAGAATTCATTTGGTGACAAAACCTGCCCTGACCCAGCATGAAGCTACTCATGGTCTCTGTGTGATCCGCTGGCAGGAGGGGCGGGGGGGGCAGTGCAATTATGGGGAGCTGCCCTACCCGCCTGGGCATCCACCGTCCACGATGTGTGCAACCGTTTACCTTGCTGAAATCCAAAACATCCTGTACGCTGAAAGGCCTTGGCCCCGAAGGTTTGGGTTTTCAGGATGTGGACCCGCATTTACTTCACCTTTTTAGTGTATGTGAACCCATGTGTTTAAACTCCTACTTGAGCCTTACTCTAGGTATCAGCATCTGAGGAATGGCAGGTTTCACACACCGGTCGGGTGTGTCTAATAAATGCTACGATGAGTCTGTCGACTCTGAAAGTGACTGGAGGTCTCGCAGGGATGGCCACACTCATCTCCCACCCGCCACGGCCACGCCGGCGGGCAGGTCCCACACCGCCAATACCCCTTTGCTGTGTCTGGTCCCCTCGGGTTCTCCTCTGGCTGGAAAGGGTGGCCTTCTTTCACCCCAAGAGGCAGACGGGGCAGGGGGTCCTTGTGGGGTCAAAATGCCCAGGGCACCCACGGCCCGATCACCCAGGCGGGGTCTCCCTTGGGTCCTGCAGCCGTTGGGCCAGATGCGTCCGGGCCTCTCCCTGAGCCCTATCTCCCACCTGAGGATGCCAGGGTGCAGGTGCCCAAGGCTGCGGACTGAGAGCGTTCCTCTGGCCCCTCTCCCCGCAGCTGCAGCAGATGAAGGAGACGAGGCGCCTGTATCCTGACAAGAGCGTGTACACCCAGCAGATAGGCCCCGGCCTCTGCTTTGGGGCCCTGGCTCTCATGCTGCGCTTCTTCTTTGAGGTACCTGGCGGGGGACTGGGAAGCAGCCCACCCACAAGGGCTCCGGTCAGCAGGTCAGCACCAGCCTGCTTGGCCGGGTGCTGAACGGGGCCGCGCCCCTCCCGGGGGCTCCAGCAGCACCCCACTCGTGCACCTCCCTCCAGTCACGGTCTGGTCCTCCCCTGGCACCCCTGGCATCGCGGGGCTGTGTCGGGGGGGTCAGTACAGAGGGCTTGCATCTGATGAGGTGCACAGCCCGGAAGGGGCCTGGGGCAGCGGGCACACCTGGAGGAGGGAGGGAGAGGGGAGACAGGAAGAAAGGATGTGCTGGGGGAGGGGGGAGGGAGGAGCCCCAGCCGCATCACCAAAGGCCCAGTGAACCGGCGCAGACCTTCGGTGAACTAGGGGTTTGGTGGAGGGAAAGGCCACCATGGGCTGGACGGTGAAGGGAGGCTTCTTGGAGGAGGGGACTTGGCCAGACTCCCGAGGACAAGCCAGGGGGTCGGGGAGGAGCCCCTGTTACTGGCAGGTGCCATGTCACGCCAGGCCCGCAGCCGAGGCACAGAGCTGAGGACCCAGGGCGGGGCAGGGGCCGTGGGAGGGAAGCTGGGCTTCAGGGCGGGGGCTGAGGCCGCAGACCGGTCCTCCGTCTCCCCTGCAGGACTGGGATTACACCTACGTCCACAGCTTCTACCACTGTGCCCTGGCCATGGCCTTCGTCCTGCTGCTGCCCAAGGTCAACAAGAAGGCTGGAAGCGCGGGGCCCCCCGCCAAGCTGCACTGCTCCACCCTCTGCTGTGCTTGTATCTAACTGTGCATCCCCGGCTCCAGGCCCCTGCCCTGCCCCATCCCAGGCCTGGCGAGAGTCCTCCGTCCTTCCCGACCTGGAGAAACGCCCCTCCTCAGATCCTGAGAAGTCTCCAGGGCTGTGGGAAGCACCCCACTGAGTGCTTCTTGAGAATCCACTTCTTAGGTTTCTACTGGGTACTAAGCACCATGCTGGAAAGAAAAGAACTTTCTCCCTTCTCCTAGGCCGAGGTCCTGACGAGTGGGTATGTCTGCAGAACCCTGGAGCCAGCGTCTGTCCCCCCCGCCTCTTCGCCCAGTCCCAGCCCCAAGGGGGTCTGCCGCCACCCAAGTCCCGTGTGCTCCCCACGCCATCTGTCTTCCCTTGGAAACAGGGATTCCCACCCCTGACCTGTGCCCTCAGGCTCAGCGCGCCAGGGCCAGCGGGGCCACTCTGTCCCCAGCCCAGGCCGGCCTGCCCCTTGGCGTCCCTCCAGCCGGGTCCCTGAATCAAGCCATTTCCATGTACTGAATGTCCAAGCTCTTCGCACTCGTCATTTCATCTGATTCTCAAAACAAGTCAGGGATGATGGCATATTCGAGGCCCAGAGCTGGAGAGTGCAGAGCTGGACCCCAGCCCACTGTCCCTGGTCTGACACCACAGCAGCCACTTCACTATGGAGCTATCCAAGCAAGAGGTGGGAGCGCCCTCAGAGCCTTTGAGCTCCGGCCCAGCGTGGGAAGGTGGGCCTGGGTGCCAGCCCCCCGGGCTGGCCTCACGGGGCAGGGCTCGTCTTCCGCCGAGGGCAGAGGTCAGCCTGCTCCCATCCAAGGCCTGTCTGCACCTGCCCGGGGGTGCGGGCGGGAGCAGGCCTCCCAGACATCACCTCACAGACACTAGCCTCCTGCCTGCCGAATGGTCTGGGCACATCTGTCAGGCAGGAAGTTCCCTACACCTGTGTGGGGCCTCTTCGTGTTGCCAGACGGTGCAGTTACCCACATCCGCACCCACCGCGTGGGACGGCCCAGGATTTGTCCTGAAGTCATCTCCTCCACACCTCGGGGGCCGGGAGGGAGCTGGCTCCAGCACCAAGGGCTGGGGACAAGGCGGACCCGTCGACCGGGGCGGCATCTGTCGGCCTCCCTGAGTGTCCAGCCGTCCCATGTCTTAGGGCCCCGGACACCGGCAGCCCCGCCCTGGCTCAGCCCCTTTCTGTCCCCACAACCTGTTAATGACAGAGCAGCCCACCAGCAATCAGGGTCCTCACCAAGCCATGGGGGGGGGCAGGGCGGGAGCTGAGACTTCACAGCTTCAGGGCCATCACCCAGACCTGTCCCCACGGGAGGGCACGGGGCGCGGAAGGGCCTCTCCACCGAGCAGCTCTGTGCCCGGCGAAGGGGGTGCAGGTGCTGCCTCGACTGGCTTCTGGTCTTCTTGTTGGGGTGTGAGCACACACATGCGCACACAGACGCACATGTACACGCCACGCACATGTACACATGAAGGGACCGGGGCCCTGTACCAGGGACTTCCCCCCTGGTCCCGTCTCCCATACCCACAAGGGGAGACTCCTGTCTCAGCACCAGGTGGTAAGGCAAGGGGCAGACTCTGGGGCCACGGTGGGATGGCGGGAGCCAGGGGGCATTACTCCAGAAACGGCATCTGCGAGGTGGCTGGTCTCCTCCCACCACCTCCCTCCCCCAACCCCCCCTCCCCGCCCACCACCTCCCTCTTGCCCCCCTCCCATCCCCCCCTCCAGCTCTGTGGCGGCACATGGAAAGTTGGAGGCCGCAGATGCTCCCGAGCAGGGAGAGGCAAGGGGCCCGCCAAACCGTAAGGGCCGCACCAGCAGGCTGCTCGCTGTGGCCGCGCTGATTTATGCGGCTGTCTGGGAGCCTGGCCAAGTCTGTAAGTCATGGACAGTTAGGAGACGCGCTCCAGCCCTCAGCCCTGTCTGCCTCTCGGGCTCCGGGCCCGACCGCGCCCCTCCCGAACAGGGCTGGCCCCCACAGAGGCCCCTTAGCGGGTCCAGGTGCAGGTCCTGAGCCCACTTTGCAGAGGAGGGCGCTGAGGCCCAGGGGTGCTGGCAGCTGGCCTTCGTGCCTTGGACACCAACCACTGAGTTGGTGGCCATGCCCAGGGTCTTGCCAGTCATCCCAGAGGCATCTTCCTCTGGCTCAAAGGCCCACTTGGCATCTTGGGGGCTCTACCCAAGGGCCAGGAGGGGAGTGCCCAGGAAAGGGAACGGAAAGGGAGGCAGCCACCCCAAACGGTCACCCCAACACCTCAAGACTAACAAGGGCCAAGGGTCATGGTCTTCAGGCTCAAACACCTCCGAGTCCCAGTGTCATCGAGCCCTGGGGTCTTCCTGTCCCTGGAATCTGAGACTCAGGCACCTGGTTCCGGGAAGCACCTCTGAGGCCATCCTGGGCCATCTTGGGCTCCAGACAGGACTGCCCTTCCCACCGAGCCCTGATGGGGGAAGGACTAGGGGTCCCTGAGTCCTGAGATTTCTGAGGCTGAGAGCCTGAAGACGTAGTCCTAGATGTTACTGGAAGCCTAGAGCGGTGTGTGCAACAGAGCTTGCTTTAATAGTGGAGAGGCTTACCCGTCCTGTACGGCGGTCGCCTGACACACAGGCTGGTGAGCGCTTGAAATGCGGCTGGCGGAGCTGAGTACTTAAATGTCAGTTGCGTTTAATTAACTGAAATGTCAATAGCCACACGTGTAGGGTCGTAGATGAGATACAGGATGCCTGGTTATATTTGAATTTCAGATAAACAAGAGATCATTATTTTGCCTCGGTATGTCTTAAATTTGGGATATACTTAAGGAGACAGACTAAAAAATGACTCACTATTCCTCAGAAATTCAAATGTAACCCAGCGTCCGGTATTTTATGGGGCACCTAGCCCCTGTGGCTAGCAGCTGCCCATGGGGCAGCACATCTACAGAACACAAAAGGATGGGCAGCTCCCTGGACATGTGGGTCTGGGCACCCTGGGTTAAACCAAGCAACACAGGCAGAGCGGCTGCAGCTCCCAGTTGACGCTGTGGCCTCGGCATGGTTGGTGGGGGACAGGGGCGGGGGGGCGGGGGGGCGCTGGATCCCTGCAATAGTCTCCCTGGGCCTGGGCCTGGCTTCCAGACCCTGCAGGGCAAGAAGAAGAAGCAACTCATTCCCTGGCCCAAGCACACACGAGCCCCAGGCCCAGGCACACGCCCCCTCCTGGCGCCCACACACTCTGAGCCCCGAGGGGGAGGGGGAGGGGGGCCCCACACCTCCAGCGGCCCCAGTGGAGAAGTATTATAAACATTTACAACAAGTAGACAAAACAGTCTATTGTAGCGACCCCTCCGCCTCCCCTAGGAGCTGGGGTGAGGTTGGCATGGTGGGGGGAATACTTGGGTCCCCGCCAGGACGTCCTCTGTTTGCACAAGCGGAGGTGTTTTCGTCTGAGGGCAGCCTGCGTGCTGTGGCCTTTGTCGTGTCTGCTACTGAAATTTCCTGTCTCTGTTATTCTCTTCCCCAGTAAGACCATCTGAAACCCAAAACTTTTATTGCCCCTTTAAAAAAGGCTTTACAGCTCCCCATCTGCCTCATCCTGGTCCGCTCTCGGAGCTGCTGTGATTGTAATTAGCGAGGCACGCTGGGTGCTGGGCACCGTGTTAGGAATTCGTCCTGGTCTCAGCCTCAGGGTCTTGGCGGGAGGAGCTGCAGGGAGGAGGGCCAGGTATGTGGGCAAGCCCGATTCTGCAGAGTCAGCTGGAAGCCCCGGGGTTTGCTGCTTAGCTGGTTAGCAAAGCAAGCTGAACACCCTGGTTAGCAGCAACCCAGGGCACGTGCCACCTGGGGACCTGGCTGCTGTCCCGGCCACCTCCCAGAGGCTCTGTGCCCTGGGGCCTGGCTCTTCCCATCTCTGCACCCGGATCCCCCACCTTTGACTGGGAGTGGCTGCCTCTCCCCGCCAGGCACTCAGGCCCGTTAGGGTGAATGAAGTCAGAGGCTGGCTGGACTGGAAAGATCCTGGGAAAGTGATAAAGGCAGAAACAGGAGGCGAGAGGCGGGGCTGGGAGGAGTGGGGTGCTCAGGGCCCCGGCTTTAGCTTCCCCACTCCGGCCCTAGGCACGTTCGCTGCGTTCCCCTAGTCCTCTATGCCTCAGTTTGTCCGTTTGTAGTAGAGCCCACTTCACATGGGTTTTGCCAAGATTAAATGAGATAATTGAATACAGAGCACTAGCAGAGTTGTTGTTTTTTTAAAGCTTTAATTTTATTTTTGGTTGGGTTGCGTCTTCGTTGCCTAGGGAAAGCCCACGAGCGGGGGCTACTCTTCCTTGCGGTGCGTGGGCTTCTTGCGGTGGCCTCTCCTGTTGCGGAGCACGGGCTCTAGGCGCGTGGACTCAGTAGTGGTGGTTCGCGGACTTAGTTGCTCCGCGGCACGTGGGATCTTCCCGGAGCAGGGCTCGAACCCGCGTCCCCTGCATTAGCAGGCGGATTCTTATCCACTGCACCACCAGGGAAGTCCCTAGCAGAGTATTTTTTAAATGGCATTTTTTTTTAATGGCATCATTGTTACTTTCATTATCAGTGGTTATGGGCAAGCAAGGGAGTCTCTAGAATGTAGTAGACGGATCCTTACCCTCAGGGAACTTCACCCTCAAACACCCCCATTTGACAAGGAAACAAAATGCTTCAAACCAAGTGTTTATTATGGGTGAAGGAATTAAGCAAGGCAGGCTGCCTGGAAGAGGCAGGTTTGAGACTGAAACTAGAAAAGCCAAGTGGATGGAACTGTGTGAGCCTGCAGACACGTGGCTCTCTGTTCTCGCCTGTGAGGCATGCTCTGAGTCTGACCGTCCCCTGTGTACTGACCATCTCCCTGAGCTCCTGCACCTTTCCCGACAGCAGCAAGAAAACCACCGCTGACCCGATGGAGAGATGATGCCAACGGCTGGGCTGTCCCTGCTTCCACTGCTGGCATGAGTGCCTCTAAAAACGGCTGAAATGCATCTCAGGGGGCTCC